TTTTTTTTTTTTTTTTAAGATTCGCTTTATCTATGCTTTTGAGAAATTACTATATGAAATCACCAATGAAAATTTCATAGCAGGGAAAAAAAAGGAAAATATAATTTCCCTATTTTTTTCATAAGATTCAATCAGAAGTACAACACACAAATACAGTTTCCCATATTTTATCTTACATTTGTTCCGACTTCATTCATGGTACTCTAGTTTTTTATAGATATGCACACATGGTATTGTCTGGTATTCAAACTTTTAACTACTACAATAAAAAACACCACCATAGTAATGTGGAAAAAAATAAAATAATTCACTGTCACCAATATGTCTAGCACAGCAAATATTGATGGATATTGAACCTGAAAATATCTGTGAAACATCCAACAAAACCTTGCCATGTGATTTGAATCCTCACACCTGATGCTGGAGACGGGCTGGCTCCAGTGAGGTAGGGAAGATCTCTGGGGGAAAGGGAGATGAAGTGAGGAAAGGGAAAATGCATGGCACTACCAGATTCAATGTTGGGACTCTCCGGGCTCATTCCAATAATGCATCATTTTTCCACACCTCACCAGGTACAGCTGGGCTATCAATACAGAAATGGTTGTGTACATTCAAAATTATTTGCTTTTCATAGGCATCACCTACAAAGAGCTACCAAAATCACAGTGGTTTATTGCAGATTTCTTTAAACCACACACAGATTGCCGCAGAACGACCTTGAACTATCCCTTGTTTTGCTGAAGTTTGAGATTGCTTTATTTCTTCCCATTCATTCTTGTCTTGCCGCTCAATCCAGAATCACTACTAGTAAGATAAAAGCATTCCTTAATCATCTTTTTTGGTCTGACATTATTTTAATAACATGGTTTCAGTTCTGGAAGTTTTTCTCCTCCCCTAAGACAAGCTTTTTATTTTTTTCTGACACACAAGAAACATCTCAAGTGTTTGGTATTATAACGTCAGAGTAGAAATCTCACTATAAACATTTTATGTCATATACCACTCTACCAGTGATATTACCCATTATATGCAATAGTACTAATACAAAAAGAGTCAAGGTAACAACCTTCAACCAAAAAAAAAAAAAAAAAAAAAAGTCCCCAACACCATTCCAGACATTTTCTCTTTTACAACAGGAGAATTAACATGATCTAAATCCATATCAAACAGAAAGCCATCCTTGTGGATTCTCGTTGGGTCTATTAGTTCATTTCAGCACTCTGAAGCATTACCGAGACCTGCTCTGAGTTTACATGCTACTGTTCCATTCTCCTTTCTTCTACCCAGGATTATGTTTTCTCTACTGTATTACTGGTTTGTTCAGCTTTTCACTCTCATCTGTCTAATGCTAGTTGAGTTCAATTGCCTCCCTAGCAGCCTGCAACTGGTCATTCAATAACATTGAAGCCAAGAAAAGAGAAGATTGCAGACCTGTTGCAAAAGCATTCTGTACATCAATCCTCCTTAATTACAACTGTTCTGTTTTCATGGATTTTTAAACTGAAAGTTACTTTATTTTACAACATGCTTTATATTTTTGAGTAGAACATCATTTTAACTCAACTTAAAATAAAAGAACAACAGCTCTACTTTAAAAAAAGAAAAAAAAAAAAGCCCTAGAAGAGTACTTGCCTTCAAGGTCACTACCTAAACATAATCAGCACCCAGGCTTTACTCTGGAAACAGCAATATTGTAGGCTTAGGAAAGAACACATGATGACTGATGACAAACGGTACTTTTGAATGGTTTTTCGTGATGTTTTAGAATAAACACTTACAGGATTTAATAAAAGGAAAGAAAAAATAAGGATTCATGAACCCTCTGGTATGTCCCCTATAATCCGTGCCTGTGGGTCCCTGCAAATAATTCTCTTTACAAAGCTGGCACATGACATCAGAGGTGAGCTATATTTCTAATTGGCTTTTTACATTTGTGTGTATCACAAAGAAAGATTAATTTACTTAAATCTCACAACTCAATACATCATGTTGAATTACAATTTGATGACAGATTTGCTGATATATATTCACGTTGCCATGTCTAAAGAAGAGATGGACAGGATCGAGACAGAAGTAAAAGCTGCAAGGTATGGTAAGAATTCAGAGCCTAATCAGACTCGTGAAAATAAAAGTGTTGCTTTTCAAACTGGATCGTCAATAAGGTGTTGTGTTAGGAAGAATTTTAGTATACTGAGTAACGCACTGAATTTAAATTAATTTCTATTATTTCAGTTTATCTATACATATTTCAAACCTGCTAATATTTCAAGGTCCACAGAATTCTAATTTATGATAAAATTAAATCATACTAGATCTAGAAGTGCAGAAAATGGTCATAAGCTTTGTGAATGGATTTGAATGAGAACAAAATCATATTGTTAGAACAATTTCTAGAAATTAAGCCTCCTCTGTGCTATGAGATGTACTAAAAGTCACAAAATAGATTTAATGTTACAAGAAAAGCGAGAGGTATGGTTTGTTGCTGTTTTTAAGTACAACGACATAAATTGTGGTAGCATCCCAATATTAAAAGAAACAAAATCACCTTATGGAGCTCAACCACTGTTCTGTAATACAGTTGAACTGTACCGGGGAAAAAGCTTCAACGGTACTTTAAATAAATTCAGTGGTCTATGCAGCATGAGTTCCCTCTACTATTGCTAGGCATACGAAGAAATGTCTTGGTTTATGCTAGTATCCTGCAAATCTGAAACCGTATCAGAGAATGAATTTCTCTTGAAGTATAGATTCTTGCTACTTCCTCTTCAAGATGAATACCTGGCAGGTTATTGATCTGCTTCTGAAGGACATCGCGTTTATTATGTAGGAAACCACTGCTGGGCACAAGCATGAGAAATTAATCATGGTTTTGTAAGTGTCCACACTGTGGTGCTGAACCAGTGGGGCAACTGTCAATCTATATGATAATGCATCCCAAAACTTCATAAAATCAGTGATGTCAAGAAGCATTGATTTTTGAGCTAACCAGGATTTGTGAGCGAGCAAGGCTAAAAATTTTACTGAAGTTAACACCTCTGTGTATATAACAGTTGCTTCATACTTGTGTGGTTTTTTTTTTTTTTTTAAACAACCAAACATACAGAAACCCTTATCACAAAAACCTTTCCAAGTAAAAATGAATTCCATATACTGGTTTGTTTCTTGCATGCTGTTTGATCATGTCCTTCTTTCTCGTATTAACATCATTGTTAGAAAAATTACCTATTCAAAATGGATTCACTGCACTGTATTTCCAATTACTTAATAATTTACTTATTATAAGGAAGAAAACGAAATGCAAGCAAACAGACTCATTCTTTTATCAGTCTGCGACAGAGTGTATGAAAGCAGGTCCTGAGATTAAATTTTCTCAGACAAAAGGTGTAGCACAGTGCTTCCACTGAAATGGAGAAAATCACCTTCAGAGAAGTGAATTCATACTACAGAAATTAATCCAAATCGTTCCATAATGCCAGAATTTCATTAGTCAGATTTTTTATTTGAAATTAGGCGCAGTAGCCTTATCAAAACTATACTCAAGTCAATGGTAATTGTCATATTTTCTGTGAATGGTGTTATTAAAAGGAAAAAAAAGGAAAAATCAGTCAGTCACTGATTCTTTTTAAAATACTGGTTTCCTTGTATGCATCATTATTGATAAATACACATTTCCTCTCTGGTTTTGATGAAGAAATGTATCCTGCTATGCCTAAGGAGAGGAGTTATTACTTGAAGATTCAATTTAAATCAACAAAAAAAGACTGCTGTTACAAACAAAATCAATTGTACTTTTCTGAACTTTCTTCTATCAATATAAAAACTGTAATTCAGTTTTGCCTTGTTTGCTTTGACAAGCAGTTGCTTGTGCTTGTACAGCCTGGTACACCGGCTTTGCTGAAACCGAGACAACTCTCAGTAAGTGTGGGGAGGAGCCTTAAATAAACAGCTAAAAAAAAAAAAATCCTCATCTGAGACACCCAACACGTAACAAATTAAATTTTATCACAAGTAATAAGCGTAGCAGAGACCTGGTTTCATTAGTGGCTATCACCTGCCTGAATAGTTGCTCTGAGGGTATAACATCAGGGAGATTCCTCTTCAGCTTCTCAGAACCCTAAGTATCAAAACCTTCAGTTCGTATTTTACCTAAGCTGAGTTTGCACCTTTATCACCCTACAGGATGGAGGACAAATTCCTGCAAATCCATTTTTACTATTTTTCCTCTTCAGTTTAATTTAAAAATACGTTAGCACAGAAAATTCCCCAGGTAAAAACTTTTAGCTGATACGTATGAAGAACACGTATTCGGGCTACGTGCATTTGAAAGGCCGGCTGGCTTAACGCCATTTGCTCTGAGAATCAGCGAATGTCCGGGTGTTTTGCCACCAAGGACTAGTGCACCGTCTAAGTCTCATTTCTAGGAAGTTAATAAACTGTACTAAACACAAGTGCTTTGCCTCAGTCTGATGCATAGGTTTGCTTTCTAAAAGCCCCCCAATACTTACCAATAAGCAAACAGCAAATTCATTTTACATTTATACAACTTCAAAAATATGAAAAACATATAAAATTAAATCTGATTGTTACAAATTAGCACCATTGTTACAGCTACTAGCATACTGTAGCTTATTAACTACTTCAAGCTGTGTATAAAAATCACATACGAGAAACTATTTCTCTTAAGAAATTTCTTTCTGCTTTTCATCATTAAATTTAATTTAATGTACTCTGAGCACAGACTTCTGTGAAAGATTACTGCATGGAAAGTAAATTGTAAGATGAAACACAATATATATCATATTATGTATGATACACATGTAATAGACTTTCCTGATACTGATACTAAGCTAAAAAAAAAAAACAAACCAAAAAACCACAGCTTTAGTTAAACTGAAAAAGTAAAGTGAAAAATTCACCTTTAAAAGAATACTCAGGTATTTTTAAGTATGATCATGTTCTCATAGATGCATATTGAGAATATACTGAAGAAAAAGGCCTACCGTTCTCCTCATCTGACTTATTTTCATTGTCGGAGTCAGTAAGTGTGAGCGCTGAATTTTCACGACTTGACAGACCGGAACTTCGCCTGGATTTGATCCCTCTTCCCCACAGCCTGATGGCATGCTCTGGAGACATTCCTCCCTCCGTGTCTGAGTCAGCATCAGAGCCCGTGCTCAAGGAATAGCCTTGATGGAGTATTCCTATGTCTGAGCAGTAGCCACTTCGATGGGGAGAGGGCTCACAGATTCCTAGTTCTGCAAGGGTGAAGTTTGTTCCTAGAAGGGCAATTAAAAAAAATAAAATAAAATAAAAGCTAGGGGATTTATTTCAAGTTTGAAAATAACAGACCTTTTTAATTTCTCTTAACTATGCTGTTTGCCAAGCCTTTGTAATGAATTACATACAGAGATCTCTGGGGCATAGATCTATAAAACATACTGAATATAGTCAAAATGGATGAAATACACAAAACAAAGGTAAGAAAGGTCTCTAAATTTCAGGTTACTATTTTGGCCGCAAATAATTAATCACTTAGGTATGTGATTAACATAAAGCTCATGACAAGTGCTAATGACATGAGCAGCTTTATTTTATGACCAGAGCATGAGCTTTGAAGCTGAACATTTCATTACTCAAAAAGAGGAGTTTTTTCTTATGAAGCTAATTTTCTCATATACAAGTCTTCCATAGAGACAGAATTTTTTTACTCTAATTTTCATATAGTTTCCCATTTCAGAGAAAATAAACACTTCTTTTGGAAAACAGAGTTTACAGATACGGATCACTTGAAAGAAAGCAAACCTATCAGCAATGTAACATGGAACCTTGTCACCAGTTTTGCACTTCTACATTTGGTGAGATTGGAGTTTAATACCTGCTATAGAAATCAAGATAGATCTCATAATCGTTGTAATTGTTTTCTACCTTTTTTCACCATATTCAAGAAGAAAGTAAACATCAACACCAAAATCAGGAGGTCACTGGGTTTAAAGGTAAAACTTTCAGGAACAACGTGAAAACACGCAACCTTTAGCAGTCAATAATGACTCGGTGGACAGAGTCTCACACATTTTTAAAGCACATGGAGCCCCCCAGGGTTCTCAGGAACTATAGACTTGCTGCCTCATTTCTGCTTATGTAATTGTTTCCTAACAGTAATGAACAGGACAGTAAAAAAATATAGGGAAATATTCACTGGTTGCTAAGGCTTTCAAAGGTTTTGAAAAGCAAAGTGATTTTAACTTTGTTACATTGTGCTAAAAATGAAGGACAAAGACTGAAGTCGCTGGCAGTATAACTGCCAATTATGTAATTAATTCCTTAATTCACACAGAAACTAGATCTGTGGTCTCTGTTTCTAAAATGTAGTTTCATTTTGTCCAAAAGCAGTTTCTATTTTCTCCTCTTCCTCTATATATTTATCATAATCAAGCTACACAGTGGAATTTCATACGCTAAATAAAAAACATACTTAAGTGTGTTCCATTAATAAAGACGTTAACTGATTTTTTTTTTTTTTTTAAAGTATTACAACTTGTTTCACAGATTAACCAGGAAAGATCACATAGTATTAAATCCATCCGGTTCATCTATCTCTATCAGCCCTCTCCAGTCTCACAACTGGCTGTTGAAGTATTTTTTGGATATGGGATGTACACACACACCTACAGAAAATAAAACTGGGCCCTGCTTAACATTTATTCCTAGAGCTCATGAATTAAATGAAGGTGATTGATTTCTTCTGGAAGACTGAGCTACATCTTCACCCAGCAACAGCTCGACAGCAACGCAGAGTGTGCCGAGAGGGAGGAGACGCTCTCTTTCCCCACTAGGTTAACCAGTAAACGGGCCAGAAGCAAGAGAGTGGCCAACAACATCAGGTAAAGAACTATCACCAACTGCACGCTTCTACAGAAATGAAGCATTTAGTGCCAATGTATGAAGAGAATACAAAAAGGCTGACATTAAAAAACTCAGCTGCCTTTCATCAACACCAAATGAACCCAAACCCTCCAAGTTAGGAGTATACTTTAACCTGCCTTCTAATATTTATTCTAGTAATCAGAAATTTTGTGGTTTAGTCAGAAGCAATGAACTGAACAGTCCTAAAAATGAGTTTCTCAAGTACACTTCAGTCTAGATATGCGCCTTTTTTTTTTTTTTAAAAAAAAAAAAAAAAGAGCTCTAGCATGACCCTTAGATGAAATGAAGTTACCTTTAAAGAAAAGGTAAACTTTAATCATGTGCAAGTAGGAGACATTTAACAAAAACAGCTTGATTGATTAGTTTTGTTTCAACCATATTAGAAAACTAACTTCAGACTTAAAAAAAAAGGTCAAAATCAACACAAAATATAAAATATATATAAAAAAGGGAGTGAACTGAATCATACGAGCCCCACACTTTCTGACCCACACAGATAGAGTGCATGCTGACATTAGATACACATTAAAATCACCAAACTCATCATGAAAGTGAAGGTTTTCAAGTTTTTTTGTTTGCTGGTGGCATAGATGTCTACAAATACACACCAATTATGAATATATTAGCTTAATTAAACTGTTTTATATACATGGTAAAACATTTTAATGATATTCTGTGGATTTTACCAGCCATTATAAACCCAGGTGATTTTACTCTGATTAGCATCCTGTATTGATGTCAAAATCTGACTACAACATCTGATGCAAAAAGCAATCTTCAGAGAAATTCTTACTTCATTTGTCTGAGGAAAAGCACTGAAAGTGGAAGGAAAATATAGCATTCACAGAATTCATTCATCCATTTGAGTTTTATTATCTGAGAACTTGGCATCTGCCAGAAAGGTGGAGAAAAAGATTTGAAAACTGACCAAATTTTAAAAATCTGAGAGGTGGATCAGATCACCTCAAGAACACAAATGAATCAGCGCCTGAGCCTCTGCGTGAGGATTTTCTATGCTGCATCTCAGAAATCTCCTTATATTCTTACAGTAGAAAATCTCAAGCACCCTCATGATAGCCATGAAATATTCCAGGTATTTCCCTGTCTAGCAGAACATGTTATTCTCTGGCAGACTCTAATTTAGTTTTATTTATTAATTTTCAGTGTTTGCTTCTGCAGTATATTATTTGAGAGTGTTCTGTAAGACAGCATGCAATGGCAGAGTAACTTGTCCTTGGATACCCATGGATAAACACATAAGAACATATTTTGGAGGTTTTTTCCACATCTGTATACACACACACATATATAAAAGCATTTTCCATATATATTTTATATCTAAATATATAAAAAAATGTATCTTTATATTATACATCCTGATATCTCCATAGCCCTTCATTTTCTGTAAAATCTGAGGAAAAGGAGATAGAAACACTGTAGTTCTGTTCTCTAGACCCTTTCTTGATCTGGATCATATTCTCCTACATGCCTAGTTTGCCCAAAATGAAACTGCTCACATCTTTTGAATAACACATGAACTGCATATTATTGCACATTAAGGTATTAATGGTATTAGTAGACCACCCTTGTAAATTCAGATAGAAGATAAATACAGTTGTGGATGCACAAAAATCATTTATCCAATAATTCATAGCAGAAAGAACCCTACTATTACTTTGCAAATAAAATATAGACTCACAATCAATGAGAAAGCATCTAACTCATTCCATATCTACTCATAGTGGCAGAATACTCCATATGGGATCCTGACAACAAAGGTCTCTAAGAACAACGCAGCCTCTTCCTCGCCCCCACTCGCAGTAGAAACTACAGCACCTAGGAGCGGGAGCAAGGAAACACAGACACAGCCTGGCTGGGGTTAAGGTTTAATGTCTTCTTCAAGAAATATCTTCCTTACAGCTCTAAGTGATTAGGAGATCAAGCAAATCAAGACCTCCTAGAAGAAAAGCCAAGGAAGGAAGGCAGCAGTACCCACTGTTTGCCATACCCTGGGAATTAAAATTGTACTGCTGTGTATTCAGAGAGAAATCTGGTCCATGAGCTATAATGTGCTACTAGCACTAGCAGTCAAGGCAGATGGATGGCTTCTTGCAGCATTATACAGTATACTCTATCTCTAGGGCTTGCATGGAGTTGAGAGTAACTGCATTTTACTGAAACTTCACTTGCAAAGTAGGACTGAAATGTGCAGGCAGAATCCATTCTTGCACATTCAAAACTTAAGGGTGTTTTCTTTCAGATTCTTGTAGCGTCTACTACATTGCTGGTGACACCAAGTGAGAAGAGATAAATAACATCAGATCCTCACTTGTGGAAAAGAAAGAAACCTCTGTTCTCTGAGAGAACACCCCACCAAAAAAAAAAGTCACAAGTTTTTTTTTCTTTTTCATATGCCACAGAGCTTACTTCCCTCCACCCCCAGTCCCTTCGTCCCCACCTGCAGAAATCACTAGACCATTTTTGTTAAAGAAAAGCAGTTAATACCAGCTGCTCCATTAAGGTGTATGTAATCTCACATACAAAAACAGACCAGTAGTATACTAGAACTGTAATATAATTTTATGTAAATCATCATTGCCCATGATCTACATGCTGTGAATCGTCTCTCAGTAGAGTAGAAAAGGTATTTTTCTTTTAAGCAACATATTACTTCTACTATCTTTTGAGCCCATTTTCTTTTACAGAAGTTTACTACTTGAGTTACTTAGTATATAAATGCTTACTAAAAGTGTGTTTAATTCCATGATGTACAATTCGACTCATTATCTCAGCTAAGACTAGCATTACCATATAAGCAAAGGTTATTTTCACCTAACCTCTAGGCAGAGGTCTCATTTGGGTAATTACAAATTGCAGGAATTGCTCTTCTGAAGATTAATCTAATCCAGCTGTGATCGCTACAAGATGCCTCAGAGGAAGATATCTGAAGCCAGTAATGCACAGATATGATAAATTTGCCTTCAACACTAGATCAGCAGTTCAAAACTGGGCTAAGTCTAAAATCAAAAGGATAAATATCACTTACATTCTTTGCTACTATAATCAATTACAAGCAGTAAGGATAATAAGAATACATTTAAGACATTCCATCCTTTCTCAAATTTTTGCTGTGTTCATAGCTATAATGACTTTCGCTGGCACGAGTACCACAATTTAGCTCCAATCTGTGGTATATGAACAGGTCGTTCTTTTTAACAAACTCTAATGCACATTTAATTTTTCTCAATTCTTTATGAATTTATTATATATTATTCTCATTTATTATAATGACAGGGAGAACAGATTATTACAATCTCATTTTTTATCCACTTACTGTACACATTTTTAAGAT